AACTCTCAAAAAATAAATAAAAGCACAGCTAGGTAAACTGATTGCATGTATTTTATGTTTTCGTTCACATTTGTTCACAAAGCTTTTCTAGGAAGGTGGTAAGTCACCAGGGAACATCTTCCTTATATAGGCAGATGTGAGTCAGTACTCGCCGAACGCGTACTCTCGTATTAACGATAACTCCGGGCATTCATATAGGAGATGCTATACAGTGTCGTCTTCTCGTTCACACTTTCTGCATAGAGGTGTGTCTATTGGCGACGTGCAAGTACTTGGATGTGATACGAGAAACGATCGTGCGCGAGTAGCAGAGAAATCTTGAATTTTTTACTGCACATTTCATAGATTTCTAAAATTCATATTGTCAATTGTCATATTTCATATTCGTTTGTTTATACACCTTCTGTCACTGAAGAAAATGGGATTTAGGAAATGCTGTGTTATAAATTGTAAAAATACAACAAAAAATTGTCAATTTAAGTTTTATTCGTTTCCAACTTCGAAGCACAAATTACTACAAAGAGAAAAGTGGATTTATATCATAAAAAAGCATAAGTAACATAACCTAAATTATACATTATTCTTGCGCCCGATTTTAAAGTCAGTATGAAATAAATAATAAATAAAAGTTCACTTTTAAGTGTAAATTTTAGTTTCATAATACTCACTTAGAGTTCATTTTAACCCAAAAATCAAGTTTAATGTTTAAATTTTATTTTTTTGAAGTTTACAAAAATGCATCAAGATCAAGTTTTTCTGAAGATGCATTAAGATATATTAGCCGTCCAAAAGTTTACAGGGAAAGAATTAATTGTTCAAACCAATATGATGATATCATGGGCTTAACCTGCTAATTTATGCATTAGCATTATTTATGGTAATTTATTTTTCTTAATTCTTCCACATAATTCTTCCATTCTTTTTTAACATTTGCCACTACTAAAGCTTTTCCCTTTGACTCAGTGCTTGGTTGAAAAGTTATTTGGTGATTTACTTTCTCAAATCCAGTTTTTATTATTGCATCCATATTAACAGTAATGCTGTAATTTAATAATATATTTATTTGTATTTACACTACATACAACGTTTACCTTTTAATAACATACCGACATAACCTCAATCTTACTTTTTCTTCTTATTCTTTTTTGGGGCTACGTCCTTGACAGTTATCCGGTAACCTCGATCTAACATGAAAGCTCAGTAAATTTTGCTGATTTACGGCACCAGGTGTCGCTGTTCCGAACTTGAACGGTCCCAATTAGTCCTAGAGTGTGGAGGTGTTTGCTTCGTTGACAATGAGTAGTTAAAAAACTGTCAAGTGTAAGTTTTTCCTGGTCATGCTTAAGTACTTCTTTGATGCTGACTTTTCAAGGTTACTTAGCATTACCCTGGCAAGTCTACACCTTTGTCCTTCTTCTCATCTTTTCACGGTTTGCGTATGGTGTGACATTTGACAATTTCCGCGATTGTTGTAGTTCACCAAAGAAAAAGATCCTCAGGTCTTAAGACCCTTAGACCTGCTGCCTTCCGAGCCAATTGGTCAGTAATGCGGTTGCCTTTATTCATATTTTGGAATAGATATATCCTTTAACCCACATCAGGATGATGTTATTACAATCCAAAGCTTAAGTTAGTTATTCGTGACACTCCAGTGCTAAACCTGGTGGGACACGTGGCCTATTCAAGGTTAGTAGCGCTTGTCTGCTATCTGTGCAGATTATCATAGTTTTCCCGGTTATACCTTTTTGGGTTATCTCTTTTGTGGCCATGGAGATACCAGCCAGTTCTGTCGGAACTACGGTGGCATTTTTGCCCATACCCCACTTTATTCTTAGGTTCAGTGATCTGGAGTATATCCCGCATCCAAGCCTTCTTCATTTTGGAGCCATCGATGTATATGCAATACGCAATTGCCACGTTTGTCTCTCTATAGGGTTTGTCAAAGACAAACTTTGATTTAATTAAGTCGCAGCCTACGTGTAGTAGGGGTAGCGCATTCAGCTCACCTCGCCAGAAATGAGTTCTCAATTGTCCCACTCCTTTATCAAGGTTTGCACCAGCTGAGTGCAGTCGCATCATTGTTACCAGCGCCACCTCTTTGACATATAGAGTTTATGATAAAATTATTAGAGCCACCCCATAAAATTTTACTTTTTGTTTAAAAATGATATGTAATTTAACTATAAAACATATTTTTGTGCTAATAAATGTAAGTATACAAATATTAAAAAAGAAACGAGTAATTACATAAAAACACTTAAAATTATGCTTAAGCCTAATACTTGGTAGTGTCATCCTTTGCAGAAATGACTGCCTGGCACCTTCTTGGCATACTTTCTATGCATATCTGACAATTTTGTGGAATTGTTCCACTCCTGGAATTTCTTATTCATGAGCTTCCAAAGATTTTCTATTGGATTCAGATCTGGTGATTTGCCAGGGCAGTTGCATGATTGTCAGCAAGGAATTTTGTAACAGTTTTTGCCTTGTAACAAGATGCCGAGTCATGCATAAACGTGAAACTCTTATTCAGAAACCACTCCTGAGCCTGAGAAAGCATTTTTGCTTGCAGTACTCTTAAGTACTGTTCCTTCGAGAATATACTGTCTACCAGTTCCTTAACTGCTTATGATAGACTACACCATGATGTTTAGGGGGTGATTTACCGTCCTTACAATACAATCAGCTTTATAATTTCCCCCAGGTTTTCCCCTTACAAATTTAGCTCTATCCATGACGATCTGCAAGTTAGATTTGTCCGAAAAATAAACCTGGAATATTATTATTTTAGAATCGTGGACAAATTGATCAACTGTAAACTGCATAATAGAAAAACAATGTTAAGCAATGTTATTTACCCGATTCCAATCATCAATGGTCCAATCTTTATGATCTTTAGCCCACTGAAGCCCACACAGGGCGACAGGTTGAAAACCCCAGATCCTTTATTCGCCAATGAACTGTCATTGATAAAATATTGGTGCCAGGCACTCATGCGTTATTTTCGTTCAAAACCTTCAAGGTTTTTTGTGTGTCAAGACAATATCTCGAATTTTTCTTTCATCTCGTGGTGTTGTAATTTTTTTTCGACCACATTTTTGTCTTGGCTGTCGGGTCAAATCCAAATTTTCGTCAAATTTTCTCTTTATACAGTCCACAGTTGTCCTTGAAACTTTAGAAATTGATGCTATTTTTATTTCCGCTATTTTTCTTGGTGAGACGTTTTTGACTTCTCCCATGATGTTCCGGTGCCACTGGTGTAACAAACACGCAATGTTACTAAATTCATAAAAAATAGTATACGACTGTCAGAATATCACTAGAGAGCAATGGAAACTATTTATTATAACTCTAAATACCAAGAATACAAAATAATATGCACACGAGTTGCAAGCTAGGCTGGACAGACTGACAAACAATGGCATCTTAGTCACGAATTGCCATGCCCGCTTTGTTGACATTGTGGTCAGACTATTTATTGTATTTTCATAAAGGGTTATAAGATAATTAAATTGAAACAAACGCATTAATATACTATAAAACTCAATCATATACCCTTTTTGCAAAAAAAATAAACTTTGCTAGATAGCTCTAATAATTTGATCGCCCACTGTATGTCTAGAGGCGTGATTCCAATGACCACCTCTATTGCAGCAGTTGGTGTTGTTTTTCATGTCACCTGTTATATGTATGCAAGCCATCCGCTGAATATGGTTTAGTTTGTTAATCGCTGTTGCCTGTAGCACTTTTGGTACCCAAGCAAGAGCTCCTTAAGTTAGCATTAGCCTAATGGCAGTAGTGTAGACACAGCCGATCACCCTGGGCCAAAGGCCCCAGGTGCGTCCGACCATTCGTCGACACTGCTCATCTTCATCATCAGTGGCATTACAGCTCGCTATGCGCCAAAGCCTTCTTCATAACAATCTTCAATTCGCCCATGTCTCTGGCAACTCTTATCCATGCTTTAACTTCGATGGATTTTAGATCATCCTCTATGTTATCTTGATACCTAAGTTTTGATCTTCCTCTGGATCGTCTTCCCACTGGTCCTTTTCGGTCGAAAATTTTTCTGATCGTTGCATTTTCATCTCGCCTAATTACATGTCCTATCCATCGAAGGGTAGCGCCTACGCCACAAACCCTGTTCTTGGACTCCTGCATATATTTTCTTTAGAATGTTTCTCTTGAAATGTCTTCGTCGACACTGCTCATAGGCAATATATGCACTTTTAGCTCTACCATCTAAGTGTGAGTTCCATGTCAAGGGTAATACCAAGGTATTTCACCTCGTCAGAAAAGTTTAGACTGCAGTTTAGAATCATTGGGGCTATTAAGCCTTTTTTTAGTGAAGAGGACCATCTCTGTATCTCTGTCTTCTTAGGATTTATAGATAGTGGGTGTTCCTAACTCCGTATTCCGTAATATAAAAATATTTTATTTATTGATAGAACTTGTCATTGTATTTAATTCGACATTACATTCGAAGTTAGTATATGAACTAGCATCAAATGATGACTTGAGTTGTATAGACTAGTATTGTATATCCCACGACATTTTTTTTATAGGCCCCTTTGAGATAAAATAGAGTCCTTTAAGTCCTTTGTCTAGCAATACTATAGAAGATAAAATCCGAATCGTCACAAGGGACCCTATTACATACCTATGCAGGTATCCCTTTTTATAAGCAAAAGTTGCAATAGAAAATTAATATACAAAAGCTATTAATAAAAAAAGTAGCTGTGATAACTAGACAACCTAAATCCAAATCCAGTTGCATAAAAACCTGAACAAACCAATTTCTAGAATTAAATACACTGTGACAAAAATCCTTTTTTAGTTCCAGGAGCAAGCAAGGCAGAAATGTTACAAAAAAAAGAACCAATATTAGTACCTCAATATTAATATTAAAGTTTGCATTTAAAAACATTTGTCTTGATTTATTAAAGTTGAATTTATAGCAGTTTGGCTACTGCTGCTAAACATAAGACTGTTGAACTTACCTGTATAGAGTTAATACTGGATTTCAGTCCTTCTTCTTTACGTTTCTTCGAAGATAATTCTACATTTACCGTACTTAAGTTATTGAGTAAATTAGTTAAAGCACTTTTGTTGATCTTATGTGATACCGTGGACCAGTTATTGCCTGAAATTAATGGTAATTAGTGTTATAAAATAAGCATAAATATACGAAATATATAAAAAAATTGGGATGTAGACAAAATGGAGTTTACAAGTTAAGCTATGGATATTGGCCTAAAATGTACATCGAAGAAATCGTACTAACTTTGACGAACGCATATCCAAAATCACAGGTAATGGAAGACAATTCAATTATGTAAACATATATAGGATGAATAAATTAACAAATACATAATTCTTAGACACTATATTATTGTTAGTTACATAGTAGTTAAGTTGCTTCATTTAACAAAGGTTCGTGTGAAGTTGAGACTGTCTTCCATCGAACGCGTCTCCAGGTGGTAGATAGGGGAGTGATCGGTGTACGAAGCTATTGCTTGGGTACCAAAAGTCCTACAGCGATTAATAAACTAAACCATATTCAGGGGATTATGCGACTGCGCTCAGCTAGTGAAAAACCTTGATGTAGGAATGGGACAATTGAGAATTCGTTTCTTGCGGGGAGAGCTGGGTGAGCTACCCCTGCTACAGGCAGGCTGCGGCACAATTAAACGAAAGTTTGTCTTTGACAACCCTACAAAATCGGAACAAGACAGTATAGGGAGACAAACGTGGCAAATGCGTATTGCATATACACCGATTGCTCCAAAATGGAGGAATGCTCAGAATGCGGGATATACTCCAGATCCTAAGGAACCTAAGGATAAAGTGGTGTATGGGCAAAAATGCCAGCGTAGTTCAGACAGAACTGGCTGGTATCTTCATAGCCACAAAAGAGATAACCCAAAAAGGTATAGCCGAGAAAACTGTAAAAATCTGCACAGATAACAGACAAGCGCTACTAACCTTGAATAGACCACGTGTCACATCAGGGTTAGTAATGGAGTGTCACGAGTCACTATCTCAAGCTTCGGATGGTAATACCATCATCCTGAGGAGTGATAAAGAACACAATAAAAATAAAGGCAACTGCATTGCTGACCAATCGGCTAGGAAGGCGGCAGGCCTAAGACTCTTGGGGATCTTTTTGGTTGGTCAACTACAACAATCGCGGAAATTGTCAAATTGGTAGGTAGACGACTGACGGATATATCGTAAGTTGCTAATTTGCCACAAAGACGAGTGTACTGTATATCAGTCACCGACCGATATATGAGACACTCGGAAAGAGAGAAAAATGCGCACGGCACGTGTTTCAGTAGCAATTAAAACGAGAAATAAATAAATAAATAAAAGAAATAAATTTAAATGGGAATAAGCCACAATTAAAGGTTAAAGTACTTTTATTGTTTTAATTTCCACTTCGGAAATCGTTCTCAAAATACAAACATTAGTAAATTAAACAAATTTTGATTTTTTGTTACTTGGTGAAAAAATTCTTCTAATAATTAAATTTTATCTGACTCATACAATTCAGACATACATCATACTGGGACGACTTTACTTGTAAGATAGTTTTCGATTAGATGAAATTAAATTTAACTTGAGATTATCAGTCAGAAAAAATCATAGCATGTAATTCGTCTTTAAAAAGACAAACACATGCCACGCTGACAGTAAAACTCCCTTGTTAGTGATTCGATAGTAAATTATGAGAGAAAAACCAGGAAAAAAACCTCACAATACTATCCTGACATGGTAAGTATTTGATCGTGCATTTAGTTTACTTTCAATAAACACCATATTCTGATTTTATATGTTTGTTATTTAAAAAACATAAATGATGTATCCTCTATACGTTACTGTCTTACTAATACTGGTATTTTCCTTTTAATAACTTCTTTTGATATGGGTAAACAGATCCTACTACATTCTGCCGAGGAATTTGCGACACAATTTGTCCCATTTAGCATAATTAGAGCCGCTTCTTTGATTTTTCTCTTTTTACCATCCGTTTTTTTAGAACTATTTGAATCATTCCATTGAACCCTATGTTCATTATCCCATGCGTGTTTACATATTTGAGATCTATCAAATTCTCTATTTTTAATATAAGATTGATGTTTACTTATTGTAACATTTAATGGCCTTGATGTTTCACCTAAATAAAACTGATCGCATTCACAAGGTACTTTATAAATACAATTATTTATCCTGTCTTGTTCATTGTTAGGTTTGGTTTTAAACAAAATAGGGCTCAACTTGTTTGTTGTTTCGAATATTGTTGAAATGTTGAATTTATTTCCTATCCTTTTAAGTTTTTCTGATAATCCTTTTTTGTATGGTATTGTTATTTTCCTCGTATTATTCCTTGTGTATGCTGTAGGATCTCGTTCTAAATTGTTCTGTTCTATTCGGTCGATTGTTGAAAATTCCTTATTTATAAACGATAAAGGATAATCATTTTTTAATAAAACATATGTTAAAGGTTTTTCTTTCAAGAACGAATTTTCGTTAGAACAAGCAATTCTCAATTGAACAATCTACAGAGTTCGGGGTTTTTCGATAACATCTCGAACGTTCTAGATTTTTTAATATTTTTTTCGTCAAGGGACTTTTTCTACATGGAGTAAATCTTACACAACTGTCGTAACTCTGCTCCATCCTTTATAGTTATTACCCTCGAATAATTGGTCTATCAGGGAGCAATCGAAGCCAACAGGGTGGATCAGTTCCATGGTATGTCTGAACTGTCTTAACATTATTGATTCTACGAATTTTGTTACAATTAATTTGTCTCTCATTAACTGTGATATTGGATATGCATTCTTGAAAGTTTCTCTTATTTATTCGATGCACATTTTTGGCACTGCACAATAATGTATTTTTATTCGAATGGGTTTAAATGATAAAAGTCTCAGACGACACGGATAAACTGGTACTTATGCTACAGAGAACTTATAATACAGAAACAAATTTTTTATATAAAAAAATACAAAAGCGATAAGCATAAATAAGAGACATTAAAAAAAATTAGGAATTTGCATCATAAAAATATTAAAAAACTTACTTATATGTTCAAGAACTACGGCACTTGATTGTACATTTTTAGAGTAAGCCTTACTCCAAGCTGACAAAGCCGATTGATCTTGGTGGAAAGCTTCCACTAAAATATCACACAGGCACTTTTGATATGAGGCATTATTATTTAATACGATATTCTTGAGCATTATTTCTATGTTAGAGCTGCCTGACTTTTTGGAGTATAAGGGTTTAATACGAGCGACGTTTGTCGATATTTCCTGAACTAAATCATTGGGCATGTTCTTTCTGTTGCTGTACACAATATTTAATATCGATAACGATTCCTCCAGCGTAAGAGATTTTTCCTTGTTGTTCTTAATTAGGTTTACTAAATAAGTGAGAATGTAACGGGAGTAGTTCTTCATGTCTATCAGGGGTAGAAATAGGTCTTGAAAAACTGAAACAATATAAAAATGATTAAATTACTAAAAAATATGTTATTTAAAGAAATCTTACAACTAATATTACAAATAATATAGGAAGTACATACACCTAAAATTGTAGAATTAAGAATATACAAGTATGTGTGATAAATAGTCAGAAGGATATGGAAACTATTTAGAAAGTACAAGACAGGTCAGTTAAGATTTTATTTCGTGTATAGTACCTCTGTATATTCGCTTGTACCTATTTCATCCTAGCAGGAATCAACAGAGCGACTTGTACAGAAGTCCTAAACGTGAAAACAAAGCTTTTCCGTCAAAAGCAGCAACAATAAAATGGCTTCGATTTGGACGCTATAGCGACATCGAATAATAAATCTCGAAAGTTGAAATCCGAAGATTTCTATTGACGAAACCAAAATTCAGAATTTTTCTTTAATCTGTTCCTTCTATAAATTTGCAAGGCAAAACAGACGATGCTAAAAGATGTAATAGAGGTATGGAGGATCTAAAAGTTGCATCCCACAACATATCTCCCCATCTAAGCAAAAATGTTTGGCGAATTGGTTTCTTGTACTCCTAAAGAGTATACCAAAGCAAAAGAAAGGACAGTTGAGATTTGATTTCACGTATAGTGCCTCTGTATATTCGCTTATACGTATTTCATCCTAGCAGGAATCATCAAAGCGACTGGTACAGAAGCTCTAAACGTGAAAACAAATATTTTCCGTCAAAAGAAGTAACAATAAAATGGCTTTGATTGGGACGCTATAGCGACATCTGATAGCAAATCACGAAAGTAGAAATCCGAAGATTTCTATTGACAAATAGAAATCGTCACGAAAGCTAATAACATTGAAGATCTTCAAGCAATTGTGAACAAAATTAACTAAACCGGAGAACAGTTCAGGCTTCATATTAACATTGCCAAGACCAAATTAAAGGCGATTGGTAAACGTCTAGAAATATAAGGGACTGGTGTGGTATACATACATGGTAAGATATTTAGACAGAACAATGTGTTCTAGTCGTTTTAAGACAATAGAAAAGAATTGGATATTTGACCGCCGATGTGCAGCTTTACACATAGCACCCGAAGTAGAAGAAAAATCATTTAACAAACGTTTGTGCAACTGTTACTATTAAACTTACCTGTCAACCCACTGCTGAAATCTTTATATCCGACATGGCTCACACCCCAAAGGATAGATTGCCCAATGTTAGGTCTATTTTGATAAGAATTTCTAAGACTAACGTGTTTTTGAAGATTTTCTGTAATCAAACGTGGTTCTTGTAGTGCAATATGTTGTAAAAATATTTTGTATCCTAACGGAGGAAGACCTTTGCTCATATCAGTAGCCATAGAAGTTAAGCATATGTCGAAAAACAACTGAGCGTTGTTTTTTCCTGCTTCTTTGACTACTTTGTCTATGATAGATAGTAAACCAGAAGGAACCTAAAATACAGATTGGTTATCTAAAACATCTAATATTAGTTAGGTTAGTAGGTTACTTAGGTAAGTTAGTTATAGTAAAAACAAAGTCTATTTTTATTAATAATTGTTTTACACTCAATTAGTTTAATTACGTATAAATATTGTACACGTCATTTAAATTAAATAGTTCTTTTCACATTGTGGCATTAAACTGTGGATTTAATCTGAAAAGTGGTCTGATATCCTAAGATTTTCTTTTGAGGTTATGATTAGAGATTGCAATTGCTGGATCCAGCATTTTTTATATGTTGGATCCAGCAAACCATGCGGATCCGCAAACGTGTCAAATTCGAAATAAGTTACTTCATGTCTTCATTAGCCTCTTTATTCAAAGCCGTGAGCCGGTAACTTGCCATTCTATACAAGTGCGATTGAACTGCAACATCGCGTCGCCCTCTCTCTTGACTGCACCGCCTCCGCCTACCCATTGACTCTTAGACCTCTTCTTTTTGTCTAATTTTTAGTTTAGTTTCTGCTCTCGCCAGTAAAAGTGTTTCACGCCTAATAAGTATCTCTCTCAATCTGCTGTACTGCCGTGGGTGTTGTTTGAAAACTGAATGGTAAGTAATTTGTAAAGTCTCACTTCAAAACAACTAAATAATTCATGTTTCTGTGGTTTAGGCATTTAGAATACAGAGTGATTTTTTTCATGATAATAAAAAAAACTCGTCCTCAGTAAGCCATGGAAGAAAAACATATTACTTAACTTGTGTCAGCTCAAAATTGCAATCAATGAAATTTGCTTCAAATGAACTACTCTTATAACAGATAAGTTAATTTTTATATTGCATTCGTGACAATTCTCAGCCGACACAAGCAAAGCCCTATGTTTCACTTCCACGGCTTACTGAGTACGAGTTTTTTTAATCTCATGATAATTGTGGCATTTGCTCTAGCCATTTTAAGTTGAAGATAAGATTGATTGCGAATTATACGTCCTTATTTGATTACATACACCTAAGATAATTTTTATTTTGAGTTTTTATTTTATTAGTTTGTATTAAAAAGCTTAAGTAATAAATGAACAAAAAAAAACATTAAAATCGTGTTTTTATTTTGATTCCACATTTTGCTGGATCCGCGCTGGATTCAGGCCAATCTTGGATTGCAATCCCTAGTTATGATCTCTGGTTCCAGTCCCTGGGTTTGGGTCGTGATAAAAAACAAACCATTGCTTGTGACAGCTGTAGAACTAAATTTCACTTGGTAGAAAAATATTGTTTCTTGTCGACCTTTGCGACAAGACAAGATAAGATGCATTTAAAGTATCCCAATATTTGTTCGGAAAATTGTTAAGTTGGAGGAAGAAATAAGCTTACTAAAAGATAAGATTCTGTCTCTGGAAGTCAACAATACTAAGAATACAGTCTGTCCCAAACCCTTTTTTCAGTGCGTCACTAATTTTAAAGTCATATAGGATTTTAAGAATGTCGAGAATTATTGCATGACATTTTAGTTAAATCTGACAGTTGCAGGATCGTAATCGGCTAAACGTGAAAAGGTTATTTTTTTTAATGCATAGCAGTTTTTCATAATTCTATTCTATTCTGTTCTATGTTATACATTCCATGGAAAGTGCTTAATTAGCTAAGATTTGTTTATGGATTTATTATTATTTATTACAAACACTAGGGAATTGGAAGGTTTGTTTATTTAAAATAACGCTTCCTCCTAGAATCTTTTAAGAGTTGACTGCAAGGTAAAAAAAATTACTGACAATTGCAAGGCATCAAAGTAAACATTCCTGTGATAAAATAATATCGATTTAAATCAGTCATATTTTGATAAGTAATTTTCTGATAAGTTTGTGTGGCAGCCAATAGTTTAATTTTGTGAAGAGTTGTCATTAAATAGTGGAAAAAGTTTAAATAGTGAAGCAGTTGATTTTAAAGTTATTCTACCAGATTTGGTGTGCAAATGAAAGACGGTTATAAAGTTTAGTTAAAAAAAAAACAATATAAATAGTTTAAATAGTGAAGCAGTTGATTTTTGAGTGAATCTACCAGTTCCGATATCCAGATGAAATCGTGCTAATGGAGTTTAGTTAAAAAACAAGATACCGAATGTAAGTTTACCTTCTTTTTTATGAATAACAAAAATGAATATTATATTTCAAACAATCTATAATCCCATTCAGAATCTGATTCTTGAAAATCAATGATTACACTAGATATGTGGCTGGTATCAATTATATTCTACATTTCAAGAAAATGCCGTGGTTCTAAAAAGAACCGTTTTAATACATATAAATATCCATAAAGGCATTAGTTTTATGATATTTCCTCAATCTCATTCCGGAATTCACAATCTGATTCGCGAACGACAGAAACTGATAATAAAGATGTCTCAGCCTCTTTTTCTAATTGAAACTAATTTAATAATTTTAATATTAGTCTTTTTTCATTCTCGGTATATCTCGGAATATTTAAAATATTTTTATGACAATAAATACAAAATTTAATTTTCACTGTAGTTAAAATGTCTGAAAATACTAACCTGGAATGGCAATTATCATTTTATCAGTTGACATTGTGAAAGTACTGTCACTGTCATTATCAAGATCATCTGTGTCAAATTATATTTATATGCATAATTGATTGGATATCTATTTAGCGTATTCTAAACTCCAACCAATTATACGTTCGTAAGTAGAATTCGCTTTAATATGCGAATACCCGTGAACGATACCTAATTTTCCAAGTTCTATGTATAATAATCAGAGACTTACGTTTTTTTCTGTCACTTCTAGCTTAATGCGTTAGAGAGAATTCGAACAACTATGACGCACTGAAAGAAGGGTTTGGGACGGACCATACATCCAGTGCTGTTTACTATGAAGTCCAGCAATGCATGCAGTGTGTAAAAGCCAAATGGAATAAATTCATTATTTAGGTTACTGTACATATTTATAAAAAATCCCGAAACACTTCAAATTTAAATTATAACTTGACATTCCTTAACGTGAAAATGCAACTCCTACCTTCAACCCCCTTAGAATGACAGGTACAACCCCCAATTTTTAAAATAGGAAGTATAGGCGTGTGATATATAGTTTGAAAGGTCTTTTCATTATCCATTCAATTCGCTACAATACAATCAAACACTAAAATGTAATGCAAAACGTAATAAAATGTAGAACACGAAAAAGAACTATGAATGTTAATGAAGTAGATGTTCAAAATGTTCACCGCGAACGTCTTGTCAAAATCCTTATCTCAAATAAAATTGTCTTCTAACATTATTTAACATAACAGGCGTGATCGACCTAATCGCAAGCGTTATTCGTTCTTTTAAGTCATTTAAATCAGAAGGTTTAGTTTTGTACACATATCTCTTCACATATCCCCATAAAAAGAAATCTAATAATGTAAGATCAGGTGATCGCGCTGGCCAATCGATCCTCGCCTCCCTATCGACCGATTGGAAAATATTGTATCGAGGTACTGCCGGACATTCAGTTGATAATGTGATGGTGCTCCATCCTGCTGAAACAATATTGTATTCGCTGGAACTTAAGGGTTTCCTGGATCAGGATATAAATTTGCCAACGTTGGAATGACATCATTTTGAAGTAGTGCCAAATAATTGTTGCCATTCAAGTTGCCCTCAATGAAAAAGGGACCAATGATAATGTTCTTCTCTCATCCAGTGAAGATTTTCCGTGTCCCAGTAGCGACAATTTTGTCGATTAGCTTGACCGTTAAATGAAAAAGTACACTCATCAGAAAACATAACGTCTTCTAATTGGATAATATTGGATCCAATATGTCCATCATTTGCTCACAAAAAAAGTTCTCCTGTCAAAATCGTCTTCCATGAGCTCCTGAGTAGGTATTATCTTATAGGGATGCAATTTATTTTCTTTTACTATGTTTACTATCGATGTATGGCTAGCATTGAATGTGGTGGATGCCTGTCTACTCGATATATGTGGATTTTCCTGAAACTCAAGCAACACATCTAATTTTAGTTCATCACTCAGTGCATTGGCAGCTGCTTTTTTATCTGCCTTACATGACCAAACTCGCGAAACTGCTTCTCTATTTTACTTATTGTTCCTTGGGATATAAGCGGTAAATTAGGAAATTTCTCATGAAATAGGCGAGTTACTTCCTGTTGTGTTCCGTTGTTATCTCCTTAACCAATCATTTGTAAAACTGTTATTTTATGCATTTCCGTTAATCTAACCATTTTTCAGAATTAAATTGAACGAACTTTTTACTTAAATTAAAATACTGGCAACTTAAATAAACCAATTTAGTAATGCGTGTTAAAATAACGTTGTCATGGAAATTCTTTAAAGTTTTTTAATGGTTAACATCTAAAAACCATATTGCTATGGTTTTTGTTCACTTTCTCATTATCAAGACCTAAACGGGAAATAAGTTTTGAGTATATTTTAGCGAATTTCGGTAACCACATGATTTTAATTTATTTTATCTTAATTAATTTTAATCAACTTGAAAGCGACAAGCTGTCATTCTAAGGGGGTTGAAGGTAGGGGTTGCATTTTCACGTTAAAGAATGTCAAGTTATAATTTAAATTTGACATGTTTCGGGATTTTTTATAATCTCATTAGCTTATCATTAACGATATTCCTGAATCCAACTCAACTAATTTCAACGACCGTATTGATTATGATCAGAATTTAAGGCTGTTCCTTGCGTTTCTGGGCATACCTAAGTTCCAATGTAAAAGTTTATATCAAATAACGCAAAAACTATGGCAGATATTGAGATGATTCTTTTTTTATATGAAAGGTCTTAAAAAGTTCTAGTGCACTATTTAGTTGTAAATTAATAAATTGTTTAAACAATATTTTTTTTTCAAATATTTTTGGTTAAAATAAACGTAAAAAATTTTTTTTTGAAATAGGGCACTACAGAATTTGACCCACTTTCCGAATCTGTTTTTATTTTTAACATAAAGTGTAACACAAAGCAGCTATTTGGTATAAACTTTTTTTAAAATCTCAAATTTTGCTAAATGTAACTTTCTCTCTCGGCCAGTACAGGCTGTCCTTGTCGATAGTTTCTGGATTCTCGTCGACACGGTTAGGTTGGTTAGGTAAGAAGTATAATACCCTCTCGAAGGTGGGTCATAAATAATGTTGAATAACATTATTAGGGTTTATTTCGACTTTTGACAAACCAGTGTGTTAATTGTTTTTAAAATGGGTAGTTCACGAAGAAGTTTATGTTCCGATTGAGGAAATTTTATATAAATAAGCAGTACCTATAATAAGTACCTATAATTTGATTAAATTTTTATATGAATAGAAATATTTTCTGTTAATTTGTAACATTTTCCTTCTAAATGTTTATACTGTTTTTATAATAATACTATTGTTTCAGTATTTGTTTATATAATAATAATTTATTATGTAGAAACAGCGTAGAATTTTGGTCAATCAGCCAGTACATTTTTTTGTATTTCAATCAGAATTATTATTTTCTTTTCTTCTTTACATAAAAGCTTAGAGTAATACTCAAATATTTTGCAGTATTTGAATACGGAATTTGATTATTTATATTTATTGGACAATACCCAAATATTTTGCTGTATTTGAATATGGAATTTGATTATTTATATTTATAGGAATATTTATTTTCAACGTTTTTGTTAGTAAAGTTTACATAATATATGAAGTTTGTTTCTTCACTTGCTTGTCCAGCCATATTAGTCCAGGCTAATAAGGATTTTCTCGTGACACTCAATAATCCAGGTAGCTGACAACTTTTTTAGTTATTGTAGACCTATAAGAAGAAAACCTACCTGTTTCCTGCGTAAAGTTCGGAGCCGTTTTTTAATGATTAACAATTAATGCAAAAAACGCGATTCTTTCGATTTTTGCACTCTATTATTTATTTATTTATTTTTACGCACAACAGGCCGTTAAGGCCTAGAGCATTTTTTTTACAACATAATTCTAATATTAACTAATTACAATTATTTTAAACAAAACTTTAACGTAAATATGTATATATAACATTCTTAACTACTCTGAAGGACCTGGTGTACAATATTTTTCCATTCGCTTCTATTTTGTGCTTTTTTTCCATTCCCTCACCTTCACGTGTTTAAGGTCTTCCTCCGCTTTACTAATCCACCTCGTTCTGGGTCTACCTCTTCTTTTAGGGTCGATTAATTTTCTGGTTATTACTAGTTTAGGAATTCTGTTTGCTGCCATTCTTTCCACATGTCCCAACCATCTGATTCTTTGTGCCTTGACGAACTTGGTAATAGTAGGTTCTTTGTATAAAGCCATTAATTCATTGTTGGTTCTTCTCTCCCAACCATCTTCTGCCTTTCGTCCTCTGAATATGCATCTCAATATTTTCCTTTCCCATCTTTCCAGAGTATCCTCTTCCTTCTTATTTAATGTCCAGGCTCACCGGCATATGTTACTGTGGGTCGAATTACTGTTTTATATATTCTGAGTTTACCTTGTCTAGAAACGTATTTTGAGTTCAGTAGGGCTCTTAAACCACCTAATTTTTTATTCCCTTTTGCTATTCTGGCTACGAGCTCCCATTTCTCTTTTCCATTTTCATCGAAAACTACACCTAGGTATTCAAATTTGTCCACCCTTTTAAAACTATAGCTTTTACCACTTACTGACCTCATACTAAAGTCTTCTTTTTTCCCTTCTGTTCCTTCTATGATCATATATTTAGTTTTGTCTTCATTTAGTTCCAATCCAAATTTCTGTGCTTCTTCGATGATTTTCTTCACAACTCTTCTTAATTCTTACTCGGTTTTTGCTAGGATCGTTAGATCATCAGCAAATGCCAAGCACTGGTGCTCATTTTTCATGATCGTTTCTTCCATCTTCATGCTGCATTTTCTGATTACAGTTTCTAATACTAATTTGAATAATGTAGTGGATAAAGGATCTCCCAGTCTCAAGCCTTTTGCAACCGTAAATTGATCTGATATGTTAGCACCCTACCAAGCAGGGTGCTAACAGGTGAAGATGCTAACAGAGTAATGCCTCTATAGTTCTTACAATCCAGTTAATCGTCCTTTTTATGCAACGTATATTATTTCATTTAGCCACTCTTCTGGAACAAATTCATTTTGCCATATAAGTACTATTAGTTTATGGGTTACTGCAAAAAGCTGATCATCACCTTTTTTTATATATTTTCCAACAGATTTAATCGATTTCTGTGGCTTTATTGTCTTTGAGTTTTAGGACGGCATTTGAGACTTCTATTATTGTTGGGTGTTCACTGTGTAGTTGTCGATGTAGATTTTGTTGATTGTCTATGTTGTAACCTCTTTCAATATCGTTTATATCATATATTATATAAATATATATATATATATATATATATATATATATATATATATATATAATATGATATAATAATAATGTACTTATTCTTCTTCTTCAAGTTCCACTCCTATCGGAGATTGGAAATCATTCTGGCAATTATCATTTTGTTGGATATGCGGCTGAATAGTTCTGTTGAATTGCATCCAAACCATTCACGGAGATTGCGTAACCACTAGATTTTTCGTCTTGATGTGTGATGTATGATGTGCCCCAAGTATTCTAATTTCCTGATTTTTATGGAATTTAAAACTTCGCATTGTTTTCCTAGTTGTTCGAGAACTTGTTCGGTTGTTTTGCGATCCATCCATGATATTTTCAAATCACGTCGGTAGCACCACATTTCGAATGCTTCTAGGTTTTTAATGTTGGATTTTTTAAGTGACCAAGCTTGAATCCCATATAAAAGGGTAAAGAAAATATAACATCAAAGCATTCTTATCCGGAGCGATATATTGATATCTCGATTACAAAAAAGTTTTCTCGTTCTATTAAAAGTTGACCGTGCAATTCCAATGCGGCATCTTATTTCTTTTGTCTAATCAGTATCTTCTGTGATCCATGCTCCAAGGTATTTGTACAAAGATATTTGTTCAATTTCTGTATTATCTAGTACTAGCTTAACTTTGATGCTTTGTGCTTTTGTAAATACCATGAACTTGGTTTTCTTCAAATTTATTTTTAGTCCAAAAAATGTACCTATAATATGATATAATCCTTATAAAATGTCTTCCGACGTTCATTTTTCATTCAATTCGGTGGTTCCATTGTTCTTTAAGTTCTTTCGAGCTCATTAAGTTTCTTATTCCTTCCATCCGTGTTTTCTAAGGTAATCCTCTCTTCTGGATTACGGTAGGTGTTCATACAGGTACTTGTTTTAGGAGTCTACTGTCTTTCATTTATTGGACCTGTACCCATTTGAGCTGCTTTCGTTGTATGCCATCCATGACTGTACCTTCTATTCTCATACTTTATTGCATTAAGTTCGACGAGATATCTTTCTTCGATATTAATCTGTCTCTGTTAATCGTCGTGTTTCACAACCGTATAAATAAAGCATGCTTTTTACCACAGTTTCATGGGTTGTAGTGCTAGAGAGAGCATGTCAGCTGTGCCAAAACGAAAAATAATCCTCCTTATTGCTTCCACTGGAATAAGCTTGACCATTTAACTGGGCCCGGGCTACCTCTTTCTAATTCTTTAAACTCCTGTTTTGAAATTAATAATTATTTTGTCTAATTACCTATTTAGTTGTCAAAACAGATACATTGTTAACTAAAGAAGTGAAAGTGGTTCAATTTAGAAATTATATAGTAAATAATAAATATTTGAAAACTGATGCACATATTCCTCCCGCGATTTATGCTTCAAGTACTAATTTTATAAATCGCACTTCTACTAATAGAAGTAAATTCTTTCATTTTAATTTCATGAATGTTTTTATTCAACATTATTTCAAAACCGTACTGAATAGAAGGCCGCCCACTTGTTTATTGTATAGACCCAAGACTTTACACAATAGGGGGTTGTATAAGGTAGGTATAAAGCTTACCTCTAGTACAAGATGACGTTTAGAATATTCTTCGTGAATGGATTTTGTTTTTGTAAAGAAAGATATTTTTGAAATAGACATCTCTCTGAATTTTACCGTTACAATATTCGAGGATAAGCCTTAATAAGTAAGATTTTTGATAGACTTGGATATTCAGCTCCATTCTTGTATCTTGGGAAAACAATGTTAAGAAATATGCACGATCAAACCGAAAGTACTAAATTATATAATAACGCATGATATGCAAATATAAAAATGCATAAAATCCAATGTTACATGTTTAATTATAATTTATTCATTTAAACCCTAATTAATTATACATACCACATTGAGAGGGTAGCTAACAGGTTTTGATGCAAAAACTGGATCATGGCTCTCGATGGGAATCTTTTGGTTTAAATACTGCACTAATTCCTTCAACCATACAATAGGAGCATCAGGAAAATGATTTCTATTCTTTTCATATATATCTTTAAATTCGTTAACATCGATCTAAAACATAATAAAACGATCTAAAATATAAATTTTGCTATAACTATTTTCAATTTTTTGGTGAAATTACTTCACTTCACTATATTTTTTTTATAAGCTATATAACAGGATAAACGACAACTGCAAAAAATCTTTAGTTGATATTTCCGATCTGGAACCCAAAATTTCTGATCTAGAATTTGTTATATCATTGAATCGGTCATTTCAAAAAGTGCATAAGTCCACAATTTTCGGAAACTAACTTTTTGTTCGGAGTAGACTCCTCTAAAGCTTGTCGCTCACTTACGCACTGCAACGCGAAGCGAAGCGCGGAGAAAAAGGTTGTTATGAATTTTCTTCATGTAGTTAAATATACTCGCGCGTATCTGTGCTAAGCAACGCGCTGCACAGCGAAGAGAAGGGACACGGATCGCAACAGTAGAATCCTAGGCGAAGAAATTCTGTTCGGCGCGCTTCGCATTGCACATTGCACTAGTGAGCGGAGGTGTACGGAAGTCATGCGGAAACTTTTCCGAATTTCGTTTGTCATCGACTACTTTCGACGTGTCTCGTACTGAAAAAAAGTACCCACAATCACTAATATAATATTCACTAATATGTGCTTATGTACAGTTGGTTGTAAAATAATAGGTTGTAAAGAAATAGGTGAAAGATGTCAACAGAAAGGTTTGAAAATTAAAGTTCTACCATGTTTTTAATTTTAAAAATTACATATTTAGTTATTTGCATGTTTCTAATATTCCACGTTTATGTCTATAAAGGAAAATAGTAGGTACAATGTTTTATGAGTGGAGTAAAAGTGATACTTTTTGTGGTTAGATTGCGTACGTTTGCAAAGTAACGACAAAAAGTCACTATTGCTCCAACGTGTCTACACACCTACTTCAACGCCAAAATACAACTGCGTTCGATTCCGAACCGAACAAAAACGTACTGTATCTCGTATATAAGCGAAAAACCGTGCACTTATTAGCGCTCATTTGTAAACTTCGTCGCGCCGTGCTTCGCTTCTCTCTGCTTCTCCGCGCTTAAGTGAGCGACAATCTTAAGATAAACTCACGTTGTGTGCAAAAACGACACAAGTCCGTACAATGTACGGCGTACATAATCTGTCGAAATACTCTACAACTAAAATTGAAGGTCTGTGAAAAAACAACGTGAGTCCAGGACGTATGCAGTTTTTGCTGTGAATTTGTAAACATAATTTCTAAGAATTTGGTTGGTAGCCGAGATAGTTGAGTCGTTTATGTTACCATTTTTTATTTCAGTTTTCATTAATGTGTTGTGTTGTGAGGTTAAGTGCTTGACAACGATTAATTTCAATTTATGGGTTTTTTGTTATTTAAACAAAGAAATAAAATGCTTACTTCATCTAACGATAGTGTACATGCACATTTACCCTTAAAAAAGAGAAAACCCAATCCAGATAAATACAGAAGGAATGTTGTACGTAATGCCAAAGTTAAAGTTTTACAACACACTAACTATAAAGGAAAAATTATACCGGTAGAACTACAGGACCTAAATGCAAGTAAGTAATAATTTATGCTGTTGTGTAGGTTTACAGAGGTTTTTTATTACCGTGTGTATCAGCAATAGGCAAATTTTTATAGTTTTCATAATATAATTTAACTAGCGGACCAACTCGACATCGAGTTTTGATGTAAGTTTTGCTGATATTTAAGAGGGACGGAGTCTAACGATCCATCGTTTCCGTCGCCTGGTGTAAATGTTCCAAAAATCCTAAAAATTTTTTTAAATTGAAAATCGATACAGTATTTTTTAAAGATTTTCAGGAAGATTTACATTAGGAAACGAAAACAATATGATTGTTAGACTCCGCCCCTCTTAAATAAAAAACGGAAGTAAAACCGGAAGAAACTTTTTTTTTGCATATTTTAGATTGTAAAATGCCACGTTTAAGAAAAAGAACTCGGTTTGAGAACTCGCGGCCCCGTCCATATGCTCTGGAACACCGTGAAAGAAACCATAATTTTCAAAACTAAATCCGGAAGTAGGGAAGTACTTTCCAAAACCAAACGCCTCGTGTTGCTACGAACATCATTAGCTTACCCAAATAATGCTGTAGCCATTAATCCCAAAAAATTGGAAATATCAAGCAAGTTCAAAACAGCATTTTAGAAGAATATAAACCATTTTACGAGAAAATTTTCCAGTGGCCTGCCAGTGAGCAAGCTGACCACGTAGCACCTGAGTCAGATAATGAATTTGATTTTGTTCCATATTATTATTTAATAATTACCAGATTTATATAATAGTAACTATACTTTCGAAATAAAAATTTCTTCTTCTTAACATGCCATACACCAAAGTGCGTAGGCGACTATCTCATTACTAGAATTCTGTTCTTGGCGGCGTGACACAGCTCACTTGTATTGTGTATTCCTGTCCATTCTTTAATATTCCTTAACCAGGATAATTGTTTGCGGCCGGCTCCTCTCCTACCTTCGATTTTCCCTTGTAGGATTAACTGTGGTATTTTATATTTTGCTCCTCTTAATATGTGCCCAAGGTAACCAATCTTGCGTTTTTTAATTAATTCAAAGAGTTCTCTTTCCACGCCGGCTCTATTAAGGACGTCATCGTTTCGAACTCTATCCACCCAAGGTATGCGCGTCATTCTTCTCAATGACCACATTTCAAATGCTTTAAGTTTGTTGATAGATGTTTTTTTCAAAGTCCACGTTTCCATGCCATAAAGCAAGATGGACCATATGTAGCACTTGACCATTCTGTAGCGTATTTCAAAGTTTAGGTGTTGATTACATAGAAGCGGTCTGAATTTCACAAAAGCTTGTCTTGCCATTTGTATTCGGGTTTTTATCTCGTGTTGTGGATCCGATTGGTCATTGATTGTGGTGCCAAGGTATTTAAAAGTTTTCACGCGGTTTATACTATTGTCACCTATGCATATTATCGGGTTTTCTGAAGGGTTTCTGCTAATGACCATATATTTCGTTTTCAAAATGTTGATTTTGAGGCCATATTTTTTACCTATGCTATTCACCTTATCAAGTAATAACTGCTGATCTTCCAAATTATCAGTTATAATCACTGTGTCGTCCGCATAGCGTAGGTTGCTAATTGGTATGCCGTTCACCTTAATGCCTAATTCCGTATCTTCTAATGCTTCCGCAAATATATTTTCAACATATAAATTAAAAAGCATCGGAGAGAGTATGCAGCCTTGGCGGACACCTTTCCGGATTTCAAATTCATCCGTATATTGGTCTTGATCAATCCTTACCTTTGCCATTTGGTTCCAGTATAGATTCTGAATAATTCTGATCTCCTTCTGGTCAATGTTGGCCCTATGTAGTAGTTCCATCATGATATCATGTTTAACATTGTCAAATGCCTTCTCATAGTCGATGAAGGTGAGGTAGACATCTTTTCGTTGATCTAAGCAGTTTTGTATTAAGGTGTTCAAACATAAAATTGCCTCTCTTGTTCCTAGTCCTCCCTTAAAACCGAATTGTGTTGACCCGCTAAGTTCTTCTAGTATCTTGTACATCCTTGAGTGTAATATCCTAAGGAAGAGTTTCAACAAGTGACTCATTAAATTGATTAAGCGGTGTTCATTGCATTTTGTGGCATTAGCTGTTATAATAATAATAAAAATATAAATGCTTGTATTTCTGTTTCTTTTTTTCGTTTCATGCAAAAACAGCATTAGTCCAATATTTCAAGTCATTTTTCAAAAAACCTTTATTTTTTTCGAGACGATTTATAGATCATTATGATTAGAAACACAATTACAATATAACTTTGGATTTTGAGGTCATCCATTTCATCCATCTTTCAACTACTTAGTTTTTTTGCTCTCCTGTAAAATTAGGAATATGTAACTCGTGTTGTTTTTGAAATGACCGATTCAATTATAAAACTGCTAATGTTCTAAAAATATATTCCAAAAAATTGGGCAACAATGATTTGGGGAAAAATGAATTAAAACACAGATAAATTATATTCATTATTCGGCTTTTATTCTGTGCACTTTGTATCTAGTATGTTTGTACATGTCGTAAATTGTTGTTTTACCTTGTTGGAAGAAGGCCCTTATTTCAAAAGGCACTTCCTCTGGGTCTACATTCATTTGAGTCTTATTATATTATCGTTCATTCTCGCGACATGTCCTGTCCAATTCCATTTTAGTCTTAATACTTTTTCACAGCACTTGTACTCTGGTTGTTTGGATTTCTGTGTCTGAAATCTGATCTCTTAGAGATGGACCCAACATTGATTGTTCCATTGCAGATTGTGTGGTTCGTATTTTATTAATTGTCACTTATGTCAGGATTTCTGCACTATATGCTAGCACAGGTTGGTCACGTTGATTAAAATTCTTTCGGATAAGACACATGGGAAATCAATGATGGCCTAGATATTTAAAGCAGTCTGCTCTGTTTCTTCAATGTCGATACTTTAGCTAAGAATAAAGTTTGTTATTAATTGTGTTTTTAGAACATTTATCTTTAGGTCCCGGGAGATTTACCATCTTTAGCTTGTTTCATTGCATATGGATGGTAAATCTCCCGGGCCTGATGAAGTTCCTATCGAATTACTTAAAATTGTGAATACTGAATCTATTGATCTTCTTTTGGATCTATTCAATACCATATATAGAACAGGTATAATACCTAAAGAATGGCTCCAATCAACATTCATACTGCTTTCCAAAAAAGCCAATGCAAAGGAGTGCAATGAACATCGCACCATAGCCTTAATGAGTCATGTCTTGAAATTGTTTTTAAAAGTAATTCACAATAAAAAATTAGATGAAGGCATAAGTAATACACAAATGGGATTTAGGAAAGGACTGGGAACACGAGATGCATTGTTTGCAATAAGTGTTCTTTCGCAGAGATGCTTAGATATTAATCAGGAAGTATATGCCTGTTTCATTGATTTTGAGAAGGCATTTGACAGAGTGCAACATAATCGACTTAAAGAAATTTTATTAAATAAAAACATAGACA